GTGGATTCTCTGCAGGCAATTTTATTTTAACAACCCTCAGTCTGTGCTGCCATTTCTTAGTGCTTCCATCAAACAAGAACAAGCCTGTCATGGAATAAGTGAGGCCTGTACACATTTTGAAAGTCTTTGGAGTATGCTGTTTCAGCAGCATTCTGGACAGTTCTTGGACATCTAGTGTGATGTCCAAGAAGTAGTGGGAAAAGACCAAGAAGCAATACACATTTTTTGGGGCTTTCCTGTTTCAAATACTGAGAAGCGTCTGACTGCTTTCTTGACCATCTCATACAGTTACTTCAGCAGTTTGTGTCTTTCTTTCTTTGCAGATAGTGATTCTAACTAGAAGAAGATAAAGAAGTTTAACAGAAGCCTTAACTCATCTGAACTTAAAATTCACGTCATGTTGCTGCTGTTTGCTTCCTGCCTCAACTGCTATGTGCATGGTGCCTTCCTGTTTTGTGGAGAAAGCTGCTTAATATTCATAGTCAAATACAAAGCTGTATCTTTTCAGGTATGGAAGGATAGTCACTTTAGACCTACCTGGAAGAAGAACCTGTGGTTCATAGTTAGCACTTCAGAAAGTCTTGGAAGATTGTAATATTTGATCTAGGAGTGCTGTGCACTGGAGAAGTCCCCCTCATTGTTGAACAGAGACTCCATTTCTACCTGTATGTTCAGCAACTCAAAAGTATGACTTTTGGTAGATGTGTTAGGTGTAAGGCTGGGCTTTGTGTTTGTTTATGAAAATAACAATTTTAATCAGATTTATCTTTTTTGTGAAAATATAGTAAGCTCCTATTTAGAATGAAATTTGTGGAAGGTGAGAGTGAAAGAACAAATTATGTTTACTGCCATACTGAAAAAGGAGACTTGATTATTTTTTGTAAAATGTATTTTTGATTGGCTTATATTTACATGTGATCTGCTGATCTAGCAGATCGATATAATTTTTAGATGAACAAATTGTTAATTTTTGTCACTCTTGAAGTGGTATATTCTGTGTTTTGTCAGCATGTGGAATAATTGCTTCATTGGAATGTCTTTCCTAAAAGGATCAAGCAATAATGTCAACCAGTTCTCTTTAAAAAAATATATATATATATATATATATAAAATGTAAATACTGTTTTTTATAACAAAAAGGAAGGGAAGAGGGAGGATGTTCTACTCATATCAGGGTTCCAGTTAATTGTTGAATGTCACTTTAATAGCAGTTTGGATAGTCCCACTTCATATTTTTATTCGTTAACCTGTAAATACCAGTTTTAAGTTTTTATTTTTATGCTGATTTTGTGGGATAACCTAAATGTGATCTTCAGTTTCTCAGATTTACTTTTCTTCTTTTGATAAGACCGATGTCCCGATAGCTGTATAGGTAGTCTCATGCATAACACGAGTGTTATGAGTATCACTAATATCTCAAACACGTTAACATCTTTGAATACAGATTCTGGAATATCAACCGAGATTTCCATTGAAGACACACTTTATTCTTTCCCCCAAATAAGTGCTCTTTTCAGTAAACCTGTAAAAATGTAGCCCCGGACGGGAGGTTATTCTCTCGTGTCAGTGTTCTCACGACGCAGCGGGGAATGGTGAGCTAAGAAGTGAGCTCTGCTCTGCTCTGCTCCTCTGTGCTCCCCTCCGGGCCCTCCTGCAGCCGCTCCCTGCTTCCTCAGCCCTGCTGGCGGGTCCTCTAATGACTACAGATAAAGCACCAGCACTTGAACTCTTTGTCCTTTTTCTTATGATCAGCTTTTCAGAAAGCTGGATTCGTGTGGGGTTGCCACAACGGTGTGCATCTGCTAGCCAGAGTGGCATGCCTGGTCTGCTGTCTATCGAGCCTGTCGCTGCCAAAACCATGTGCCAATTCTTCCCGCGGAGGAGACGCAGATGAGGTGATTTTTAGTCCCAGTCTGCTCGCAGGAAATAACAGCAGTGTGTCAAGAGGCGAGTCCCATATGCACATCTCTCTCCCAGATTCGGTTTCAGTCGCAGCTCCCTGTACTTCATGGAGATGAAATAAGGATGATTCTCTTATGTAAAAAAAAAATTTACTTGCTGCTTTGCCCTATTTCATATCAGAGCTGTTGCCACCATTGCAATTTTACATCCTCTTCTGCTACCAACTAAGAAATTGCCCCCCAAGATTTCTGCCCAGTGTTTCATTCCATGTGGCTTTAGCCCTGGACCATGGGAGATGGACTTCCCTTTGAGTGCAGTCAACCAGACTGCGAAAGAGCTTCTCGTAGCTAAATTTTTAAAAGTTGCACATATTTTCTTGCCTTCCCTGAAAAGGCAAATCTTTAAGGTGAGCTTTGCACACATGTCTTTTGGGATTTTTTAAGGCAGCATTCAAGGCGTACCACCAGGTCTATCACAGCTCTGAGCAGCAGCCTCTGGTGTGTGAGAGAAGAGAAGAACGATGCTTTCCTCTTGTTATGCAGATGAAGTGGGGCTTACTTTAAAAAGTATCTAGAAATCAGGTAAATTTCCCCTGCTTACAAGAATATTTACACAGGCTTAAGTGTAGAATTCAGCAAGCTGGCAGTGTTGCGTTACCAGTAGTTGGAGGATTTCCTGTTTCTTGGTCTGATAAATGAAGGCCAGGAGTTCTTGAACTGCAGTATTTGCTCTGTGTATGAGGAAACTGAGGGGATTAATGCTAGGTGTCCACAAAGCCCTTTGAATGTGTTTGCATTTCCACATCTGCTTGGACAATGCACTGAAACTTACTGTATTTAGTAGTTTAACCTACTACTGAGAAATGTTTAATGCTTAAATGTCTAATTAAAAAGCAACTTTAGAATGTTGAATGGGAAAGTGTTTTTTCTGCTTTATCGTTTCTTTATGTTGTATAAAGATCAAATATCTACTTTATTCTTTTCGGGTTCTCACTGTGTAATAAAAGATTTATGAACATGTTACTACTCCATAAATGATAGAACATACTGTAATACACGTTATACACCTTATTTTAATCCTAAGTAATGCTTGTTGAATTTCTTGCACTTGTACTTCCTGCCACCTACTGTTTGCTGATCATATGAAGTGGGACGAGCCCGCAGCTGCAGCAGGTTGTTCAGGTATGCTTTTTTTAATTAGAGGAACCTGCCTTGGAGCGGGTGCCAGCTCTTGTCCTGAGTGTCTGAGTACCAATAAACACAAGAGCCCGGCACTCCCAGTGGAAGGCAGTGCCCTCGTCCCTTCCTTTGCAGCTGGTAGGTTTTTTTTCTGCTTCCTTAAAGAGCTGCATCAGTAGCGTATGCATCACTTTAAAAAACGAAAGCACGTGGTTTGTGGAATTCAGAAATACTTTTTCTGATTGCAGTTTCTTCTTACTAGTAGCAGAAACCCTTCCTCCGTTTTAGTCATCGCTTTGGGATTTTCACAGCCTTTCTATTCCTTTTTATTGGAACCCCCATTGTGGATTTTTTTTTCCACTTTTCTGTTTGAAAAGTCACATTTTAAAAGTCAACATAGTTTTGAGTCCTGTTCAAAGTTTTGCTGCTTTGGTTTTACTTCCTGCAGAGAAAGGTGCAATCTCTCAGCTCCTCAGCCTTTGAAGTCTGAAACCTTTCTGTAACGTGGCTCTGTCAGAATTAAGGCTCCCATCTGGTTGCTTGCACAGAAGTTTGCTTTGCTCCATTACTTGTAGCTATCACTGACAAACTGTTAAATGAGCTACTTGTAAAATCTGGATGTGCAAACAGCTGATCAGCCATTTCATCTGGAGCAGCCATGTATAACCTTAAGTATTTGTGAAAAAATCCGGAAATAATGCCTCCTGTCTTAGGTGTTAACTGAGGCCATGGCTTGATGTCAAGGCGTTACATGGAGACCTGACACACCAAAATACCTTAGTGAGATCAGGGCTGTTCTAAGTCAAATAGTTACAAACACAATGCTTTTAAAACCTGTGCCCCAATAAAAGGAACTTACCTCTCTATTCCTTACCCTGGAAAGTATCCGTGGCTGCTCCTACGGTATTGTGGCCCTTTCCTACTGCTTGTAGAAAGCAAGTGTGCTCCATGCATGTGGTGGGGTGAAGAGTTTGATGATTTACTGCAGATATCAAACTCAGACAGTACAATGCCCCTTTCTTGGGGGCGGCTCGTTTCGCTGGAGGATGGGGTGTGTGGAGGATGGGGTGTGTGAGCCGCGTCCACACCAACTGTCCTGCTCTGCGCCCTGCGTCTGCTCAAGTACGTGCTGGGAAGGAAAAGCGAATGTGAACCCTCACATGTGGGTGATGGGAAAAGAGGGGGGGTGGCATTTTAGGGAGGACAGGGCTTTTGTGGCAGAAACAAGGCTCCACGGAGCTTTAGCAGTGGATTTGGGGACCTGGTGCTCGGAGGCTCCTTCCCTGGGGCCACCAAGTCCGGGAGCCTCTGGTCCAGCCTGGGTCTGCCTCGTGCTGGTGCAAGCGGGGCCGTGTGGGTGGGTGTCCTGTAGGGGGGAGGCTGGAGATGGCTCCTGGGGGTCAGCAGGTGACCTCTCAGCTCCACGTTTTCTCAAAAATACCACCTGCAATAACTGCTGACTTGACTGGTGGGATTTGGAAGAGGAGGAGAGGTGAGGTCTAATGGTTCATGGATTTTCTTTTTCCGTATTAAACGTGAAGACCGTATTGAGCCTGTTTTTAAAGGAGCTATTGTACAGATAATTTTTTTCTATGTCCCACGTAGCCTTATAGCAGATGTAAATAAGGGTCACACAGTAAATATATTGTGCTATAAAAATATTTTGTACAACATAATTTCCGAAGTAATAAAAGTTATTCTGTCTGTTGTGTATTGCATGGTGCAATTAGTATTTTCTAACAATGCACTGTAAGGATTTCTCAAAGGGACTTAAAAGCAAAAGGAAACAGGTCTGTTGGGAAGAAAAATCAATGAGATCCCGTGTCCCTTCTGTCCCTTTTGCGACTGCCTCATCCCTGTGCAAGCTCCGAGCGTCTGGGTAAGGGAGAGCCGTGGGCACTGCAGAGCCCAGTGTGCAGGGGGACGCTGGTGAGGAGAGCTGCGTGTTTGTCATCTGCTGAAACAGTTCTGTTTGGTGAAAGAGACAAATCGACACCTTCCACTCCCTCCTTTGAGTCCTCCTGTATAGAAGTCGGTTTATTTTTCACAGCCAGGAGGTTTTGCGTTCAAAGACAAAAATGAGAAAAAAAAAATGGTAAAACCAAACTGCATTCAGCTGCTGTCCGTGGGCACAAGGGGGTTCCATAAATGTCTCAAATGTGCGGGCGCGATGCAGGAATTGCAGCAGAGTGCCTGGTTTGGGGCGGGCCCCCCTGGGCAAGGCTGCAGAGGGGCAGCGGGACAGGCTCCAGGCTGGCCGATCTGGCCAAGCAGGGCTGTAGCTTTTTGGCAATTTCATTAAAAGCTTCGCGTCCAGCTCTTCATTTCAAAAGGCCCACTGAAAGCAGGTCAGAGGTTGATAACCCCAATGCTGGGATTCCACCTGGATCTCGATGAGCCCTGGGGCAGGGCACCCCGCAGCCACCGGCTCAGTGGTCTCCAGTTTTTCAGCGCTGCTGGAGGTGGAACAAAGCCTGGAGCGTGGGGCCGCAGCGCAGGCTCCTCAGCTTGGCATTTGCTCGTTTTTCCCATCTCTGATCGTGCTTTGCCTGTGCAGATGAATCCATCCACGTACGAGGCCCCAGAGCCCCGTTCACCTCCCCGAGCTCAGGGGCAGGAGGCTCAGCGGGGCGCAGCGAGGGAGAGGGGACGCGGTGGCGATGCTGCTGCTGGGTCAGGGCTTGCACTGGGCACCAGCACAGCCCTGTTGTGCTCCAGCCCAAACAAATATTTTGCCTTTTTTTTTTTTTTTTTGGCTTTGCGCTGCGCCTGTTTCTAGGCTAAACCCTCCCCTTTACTGCTGATGGGAGAGTTTTCCAGAGAAGCTGGCAAGAAGCAGCGTGAACGTGCTGATGCGAGTTTCCACGTTAATCTGCTGCAGATCGAGCGGCGCATTTCTAAGGGACAGCCGGGAGAAATCCGAACAACGCTTCCATGGTGCGCCGCGAGCCCACGCTATTGAGATGAAATCCCACTGGACGCAATCGGGTGGACGCGGCTGCTGCATCAGCGTCCGGGCAAAGTGCTGCCCTGTCCAGCCGCAGCGCATAAATAGCGAGGCTGCCGCCTGCCACCAGCGCAGGAGCTCTCCGGGAGAGGTAGCGACCTGCTCGTGGGACTGGATGGGGATTTAGGGGGGCACCGGTGCCTCCAGTGTGTGGTGGCGAAATCAGCCAAATCCCTGCTGGAAACAGGCCAGGCTTTTAGACATGAGCTCAATGAGCACCTGGGGTGGGAGCAGGATCCCTGCTCACCTGGAGCATGGCTGGGGCCAGCCCAGGATGCTCTGGCCCCGCACAGCAGCACCGGGTGCAGGGGGGAGAGGATGGCAAACGCAGGAGTGCTTCTGCCCTGCAAAGTGCTGGAGTCTGCAGCTGCCCCGCTCAGCACAGGCTGCATTATTTTTTGTTACCTGTTCTTCAGCCTCTTTTCTAAGCACTGTCTGGTTTAACGACTCACGCCTCGCATAAAGCCGGTGCCGCGCTGACCTCCTACCATTCGCTTTTCCAGGCACGATGACCGAGCAGCAAAGTTCCCCCGAGCAGATGGCGACTGGGGAGGGTGCTGGCGAGTACGGTGGCACCTACAAGGTACGGGGTGGTGACCGAGCATGGGCTGGCTCCGCTCGGTGCCGCCGCTCACCCCGCAGCGCCAGCGGGAGCCGAAGTCTCGCCCGTGCCAAAGCGCTGCGCTGCGGGCTGGGGAAGCAAGCGGCCTCCTAACGCAGCAGGGTGGTGATGCCACTGCTGGGACAAACGCGTCCACACGCTTTTTGGGGCTGCCTTACAGGCTGCCTGCAGGAGGAGACGCCTCCTCGTGCGTTTGTGGCTTCCCAGCGATTCCGCGCAGCGCCTCGCTCCAGGAGATGGAGCACTGTCACGGCTGGCTGGTGCGAGCAGGCAGCAGTGTCCTTCCCCGAGTGTTTTTTTTTCTGGTTGCAATTCTCACGCCCATGGGTTCGCGGAAGGCTGGGCTGGGTCTGTGAGAAGCTGTGGTCCAGCATCCGCACCGCTGCCGTGCCGCAGGTTGGCAGGGCCGGGCTGTGCCGCCGAGCCCCACAGCTCGAAGGGCGGCCTGAGAAACCGCTGGGGAAGCCATCCTAGGCTCAGGGGTTTCCAGCCATGGCCCCATTGGGGCTTGAGATGAAAATACCAAAAAATGAGCTGGGTTCCCAGGGCCGGAGCAGGCCACAGGAGGCGATAGGATCGGTGAGAGCCTGAGGAGGAAGCAACGTGCTGCGAAACACGGCCCCGGGGCAGGAAACCGCAGCCTGAGCTGGCCCCGGAGCCCTGCTGTGGGCACAAACCCTCGGTGCCTGCGGGGCTGCCGGGGAGCTGGGCTCCAGCCTGGCATGGCTGAAACACAGCAAGCACCCTCAGCTGGGGCCTGGCTGCCAAGCATCGCCCACGAGCACGAGAGGAGCGATGTCCCTGCACCGAGTCCCCAGCAAGGGGACGTGGTGCTGAGACCCCCAGCGCCTCGGTGCGAGGGCCAGCTGAGAGCCTGGCTTTGCCAGTGCACGCATTTGCCATGGGTGTGCGGTCCTGCAGCGGTGCAGGATGTGTCCCTCCCCGGCTGCTGCCATCTCTGCCCCCTCCCAGGTCACCATCTACGAGCTGGAGAACTTCCAGGGCAGGAGGTGCGAGCTGACGGAGGAGCTCCCCAACGTGGCTGAGAAGGAGCTGGAGAAGGTTGGCTCCATCCAGGTGGAGTCCGGCCCGTAAGTCGGGGAGGTGGAGGCCGGAGCAGCCCCAGGGCCGGGGGTCCCCACCTCGTGCTGGGGCGCTGTCCCCGTGCAGGGGTGGCCGTGACCCCCTCGTCCTGCAGGTGGCTGGGCTTCGAGCGCCAAGCCTTCGCCGGGGAGCAGTTTGTGCTGGAGAAGGGGGACTACCCGCGCTGGGACTCCTGGTCCAACAGCCACAGCAGTGACAGCCTGATGTCCATCCGCCCCCTCCAGATCGTGAGTAGGGGCGGCGATGGGGTCTGCGGGGCTTGGGGGGGGGGGGGGGAGTCCCAGGGCAGCCCCTCACAGCGTGTCCCCCAGGACAGCCCCGAGCACAAGATCCACCTCTTTGAGAACGTGGGCTACACCGGGCGGAAGATGGAGATCGTGGACGACGACGTCCCCAGCCTCTGGGCCCACGGCTTCCAGGACCGCGTGGCCAGCGTCAGGGCCCTGAACGGGACGTAAGGACCGTGGCACCGGGGGGTCCACGGGCGGCTGGGGGGGTGCTCAGGTGCAGGTGCTGCAGCAGGATGGGGGCAGCCCCCTACCACCCTGCCATCGTCCCCCGGTCTGGGGACTGGGGCAGCGTCCCTGGGGCTGAAGTGAATGGCTCCTGGCTCCTGGTCTGGGGCTCTGTAGAAGCAACAGAGCCAGGGCATGGGGGGGGGGGGGGGGTCCTTCCCCACCCCAATGGTGCCACTGAGCACTGCCCCATGTCCTGCAGGTGGGTGGGCTACGAGTACCCGGGGTACCGGGGCCGCCAGCACGTCTTCGAGAAGGGCGAGTACCGGCACTGGAACGAGTGGGACGCCAACCAGCCCCTGATCCAGTCCGTGCGCCGCGTGCGGGACCAGCAGTGGCACCAGCGGGGCTGCTTCGAGAACAGCTGAGGAGCCCCCCCCCAAGCCCTGCGCCCCCAGCACCGCCCGGCACGCCGGGGGCAGGCTGACGTGTGCTGCAGCTGGCGCCGTGACCTTGGTGTTTATTTTGTGCAAAAACCTCAATAAAGCTCTGAGCTGGAGGCTGCTGGGAGCCTGCCTGGTGGGGGCTGGATGCGGGGTGGGGGGACTGTGTGTGTGTGCGGTATTTTGAGCCCTCTGCTCCAGCGGGGCGAGGAGGGGGCCGTGGCAGTGCCCAGCCTCTGTGCACAAAGCGGGAGTGTGCAAAGTGCGAGCGCTCGGCGTTGCGTAAAGGCTGCTGCCTTCCAAAACCAACAGCCCCCGGTGCCGCGGGTCGGGGTGCGGGGTGTGGGGTGTGCAGGGCAGCACAGAGCCAGCCCCGTGCCAGGGGCAGCCGCAGTGCCCCGAACCCGTCCTCTGGGGCTTGCCAAGGGCTGCTGCTGGGATTTTTTTTTCTCCCCTTCTCCAAACATCTCCCTGGGCCGTGGGAGTGCTGCTCGTGTGCTTTGGGCACGGGGCGAAGCAGGCTCGCCTCCAAACAAGGGGCATGGCGGGGTCTGGGGGTCCTGGGGCGCACCAGGGATGGGATTGCTCGTCCCTGGATGGTGCCAGGCCCCCACACACCCCCGAGGGTGGCTTGTCCTGCAGGCAGGGCTGAGCCCTGCACCCTGCACAGTCCCTAACCCCGCCTGGGGCTGCTCCAGCACCTCGCACCCACCACTTGCAGCATTTCACACGTGGCCCCAGCGCAGTCCCCGGGGTGCCAGCAGGGAGCCGGGCACGGCACGGCCTCGAGCAGCCTCGGCTGTGGGGGCACACGTGGCCCCCCAAGGCCAGCCAGGAACAGTTGGGGCTCTACCAGGGGCACCCCCAGCTTCCCCCCGTGCTGGTCCCAGTTGGCTGGGATGGGGCTGCCATGGGCTGGGCCAGGCAGTGGGGCAGAGCCTCGGGGCAGTCCCTGCCACGAGCCCTGGCATTTGGGAATGGGGTGGGAGCCTCAGCCTGAGCTTTGTCCCTGGGTCTGTGTCCCCCCCTGGATGGGGCTGGGAGATGGGCACCTTCTGGGGCTGTTGGCAGGGACAGGAGGTGGGCTCGAGGCTGCCCAAGCTCCCTCCAGGCTTGGAAGGGAAGCACAGGGGCTGCTGTGGGGCTGGGGGCGGTGGTGGACGTGAGGCTGCGCAGCCCCCAGGCACTGGGGATGGAGCAGGGTCCTGCAGCAGGGCTGGCAAATGTGGTGGGCACTCGGTCACAAAGCAGACCTCCCAAAAAGAGGCTGTTGTGTGAAGCAACTTCTTGCAGAGCTGCACTTTTACTGCAGCATCTGCAGCTCGGTGTGGGAGCCCCAGCCCTGCTGCGCGTGGCTGGGGCTCCCGGAGCACCCACGGTGGCCGCAGACTGCGGGGACCGACCCCTGCGTGATGCTGCCCTAATGCTGTGTGACACCTGCTGCGGTGACAAGGGAAGGCCCCCTCCTTGGGGGTGGCTGTAGGCACTGCATGGGGGCCCCAAAAAGGGCAGGGGACTAATGGAAGGGGTCCCCAATACCTGGCACTGGTGCTGTGCCCCCAGGGTCCCGCTGCTGCCCTGCTCCCCTGTTCCCTCCTGTTGTGCCCCCACACCCAGGGACCCCGCAGGACCCCAGCGCTGTGCTGGGGGCTCTCCCTGGCTGGGGAGGCGCAGCCGGGCAGGGCCAGGTGTTTCGGGGCTGTTTGGGAGCTCCGGGCAGTTTTATTGCGCAAGGAAAGAGCCGACCTCAGCAGATTTCGGTGCTTCCAGCGCCGGGGCAGCGCCGGCCGGTTGGAGGGATCAAGTCCCTGGCTCCAAAACTCCTGAAGCGGGGCTGGCGGGGGCTTTGTTTGCAAGGGCCGGGCTGGGTCTTGGCATGCATTCGGCTGATGCAGGCAAACTCCAAATCTCCTTGCCAACAAACCCAACAAAGCGGGCGACTCGAATGTGAAAGCTAATGAAATAACTCCGCGACTTGGGGTTTGGGGAGACAATGACCGCGGCGCGTCAGCTGACCCCGGTTTTCATTGGGTTTAATCCTGCATTCCCGCTTTGAATCGTGCTCTGACCGTGCTGTAAATAGCTCGGGCACCGCTCTCCTGCAGGCGCAGTATAAATTGCCCCTCTCGGTCCCAGCCCTTCACTGGCTCAAGCGGGTACTGGTACAACTGGTAAGAACTCTCTCTCTCTTTTTGTCCTCGCCTTTTTGTTTTTGTTTCCACCCCGGCCTGCAGCAGCTCGGAGCTGGGATGCCTCGGCTGTAGCTCACTGAGTAGGAACAGAGGGAAAAGCCTCAGAAGTAGCAGTTGGGATGCTCTGAGAGCATCCCGGGACCACCCCAAGCTCACTCGTGCCCTCGCTCCGGGCTGAGCCCCTCCGCAGCCCCACCGCAGGTGGCTCTGTGCTGGGACTGTCACCGGGACCCCTCCATGGGGCACGGGGGGGCTCTGTCCCGTGAACAGCTCGGAGCAGGGACCTGGCCCATGCAAAGCCAGGCTGGGGCTTGGGGCTGCTGCAGCACCCGGGGAGATGTGCGGGGGCCTGGGGCTGCACTGCTCTCGTCCGCTGTGCCCCTCGGTGCGGTTCAGCAGCAGCGGGTACGGGGTGCAGGCATGGGGCACGGCCCCAGGGCCATGGGCTCAGTGCCAGGAGTATCCTCGGTGGCAGTTTTAATTCCTGAGCTCTCCTCCCACAGAAGCAGACGGCCCGGCTGAGGATGGCTTCCGAACACCAGATGCCAGCCTCCAAGCAGCAGCCAGCCAGCTCCAAGGTCAGTGCGCAGCGGGGCCGGGGCCGCCTCAGCCTCACCGAGCACCCAAATCACCCCCTGGCTGTGCCCCCCGGGCCCCCTCTGCTGCTGCAGCCACCCGGGGGTTTCCCTGGAAGGGATCGGCTCCCAGCCCAGCCTTGGTGCAGACACAACGCCTTTCCCTCCCTGCGCCCCACTGAGCCGTGAAATCCGCGCTGAGCTGGCAGCGCTTGGCTCATGGGGCTGCACGGATGCTCCCACCACGGCTTGGCCCCATTTGTGCTGTGGGGTCTGTGGGGTCTGCGTCCCAGCTGTGCCATGATGCCCAGGCGAGACCCAGGGCTGCTCGGCACGGGGTCAGTGCAGGCATCCCTCTGCGAGAGGCACCGGCAGCCCTTGGGAGTGGGAGATGCTGGGGTGGTGCTCGTGGTCTGTAGAAGTGCTGGAAGTTTTGGGATGCGGCTCAGGGTGTTGCTGTGCCCTGCTCACTGGCCCCGCTCTCCTGCAGATTGCCATCTTCGAGCAGGAGAACTTCCAGGGCCGCTGCCATGAGCTCAACGGCGCCTGCCCCAACCTGAAGGATGCCGGCGTGGACAAAGTGGGCTCCATCCTCGTGCACTCCGGACCGTACGTCTTGGCAGTGGGGAGGGTCCTGGGGAACCCCCCCACTGCTGGCACCCCGTGGGTTCCCCACGGCTGGTGTTGAGGGGTCAGGGCACGAGGTTTTGGGGTCCCCGCGGTGCTGAGCCCCAGCAGCCAGCCCGGCCCACCCGGGGCTGTTTCGCGGTGCTGGGGAGGGCAGCGAGCGGCCTCCAGGATTTCTGTCCCTGGGGTGAATCCTGCGCTGCTGCCAGCCCCTGCTCGCTGGTAGGGGAGCTGGGGGGGGCTTGGACACTGATTGTGGCATCGCCCACCCTTTGCCTGCCTTCCTCTCCTGAGCAGGGCCAGGCAGGGATGGTGCCCGTTGCTCGGTGCCGCCTTTCCCCCCATGTGTGCTCTCGGAGAGGGGTCGGGCGGCCACCGTGTCGGGGCACCCCTGCTGTGGGAAGGGGGGGGCTGCCCTTCCTGAAGCTCGTCCTCTGCTCTCCTGCAGCTGGGTGGGCTACGAGCAGGCCAGCTGCAAGGGGGAACAGTTTGTGTTTGAGAAGGGGGAGTACCCCCGCTGGGACTCCTGGACCAACAGCCGGAGAAGCGACAGCATCACCTCCCTGAGACCCATCAAAGTGGTGAGAGCACCCAGACAGCCACTACCCACCCGCCAGACCAAGGTCTGCAGCCACAACTCTTCCCCCGCCTTCCCCCGGGCCCCCAGCCCCGCGGGAGGAGGAGGACCCCTCCCGTGCACCCTGCCCCAGCTCCACTGGGGACCCAGGGGAGCCCCCGGGGGGGGTCGGTGGGAGCACGGGGATGGGGAGCGGTGGCCCAGGAGCTCAGGACGTCTGCTGGTAAGTCCAGGAGTGCCCTTGGGGGGTGCCGGGTCTCTGAGCTGGGGGGACACAGAGCGGGAGGACACATCAGGGGGAGGCCCGGCGCGCGGTGCTGCTCCCCTGCCTCGGTTTCCCCGCAGCCCCCCGGGGCTTTGCCCCCCCTGGCCAGCCCCAGGAGCAGTGGGCGCTGACCCCAGGCCTCTGCTTCGCCCCGCTGCAGGACAGCCAGGAGCACAAAATCGTGCTGTACGAGAACCCCAGCTTCACCGGCAAGAAGATCGAAATCATCGACGACGACGTGCCCAGCTTCCACGCGCACGGCTACCAGGAGAAGGTCTCGTCCGTGCGGGTGCAGAGCGGCACGTGAGTACGGGGCCGTGGGAGGGGGTCCTGAGCCCACCTCGCCCCCTGGACGGCCTGTGACCCCCTCCATGCTTGCCTTGCAGGTGGGTGGGCTACCAGTACCCCGGCTACAGGGGCTACCAGTACCTGTTTGAGAAGGGGGACTACAAAGACAGCTCAGAGTTCGGCGCCCAGCACCCCCAGATCCAGTCGGTCAGGCGCATCCGGGACATGCAGTGGCACCAGCGCGGCGCCTACCACCCCTCCAACTAAACCCCCCGGCCCCCCCGGGAGCAGGGAGCCCAGCAGGCTCCCCTCGCCCGCCGCTGCCCCCACGGCCTCGCCTCCCTCCTCCCTCCGTGTGAGCCACGCCGCCGCCAACGCAACCGAATAAAGCTTGGAGTTTCAAAGTCCCCGGTCTGCTCCCTTCCTTCCCGGCGGGGCTCAGCCCACCCCAACCTCCAGCACCCATCGGGGAGGGGGTGGGCATCGCCGTCCCGCACCCAAGTGCCCCTCACCAGCAGCATCGTGGTGCTCGCAGCCAGCACTGATAAATCCCAAAACTGCTGCACTGCGAGGGAGGTGTGCAGTGGGTTTGGGCAGCAGGGATGGAGATGTCCTGCGCCCCCACAGCCTGGGCACCGGGGGTCTGGACACTGCGCCTGTGGGGGGCACGGCTGGGGGGGTGCGCAGCAAAGGTGTCCCCAGAGGGCCTGGTGTTGGGACAGACACCTTGGAGCTTAATAAAGCAATTATTAAGCACTGTCAGTGCTCGACAGCATTGCTTAATAGCTGCTCCAACCAGCAACAATGCTTTAATTTAGCATTAATAATGCTAAATAATGCTTTAATTATTTGCACTCTACGTTGAGCAAATGAAGCTGTCAAGTGACAGCTCCAGCAGGGGAAGGTTCTGCTCCTGGCTGAGCCGTGTGAGGGTCTGGGGGCTGCAGCACGGCTCCGGGGGGCTTTGTGGGGCTGGTGCTGAGCTGCTGCTGCCCCGCTCCCTCCCTGCAGGATGTGGCCAGCGGCAGCCGCTGCGGGGCTGTGCTGTGTTTTGTGCCTGTGCAGGGCTGGCACCCAAAGGTGGGCACCCCTGGGGTTTGGTGGTGGGATGGGGGCACCCTGGTTGCCCCCACCCCAGCTCCTGCTGCACCCCTTTGCCATGCACCCAGAGAGCAGAGAGGTTCTGGGTTTGTTGGCTGGGGTATTCTGGCACAGATGCCAACCAAATGAGGACCTGTGGGGAGATTTGGATACACGCTCCCCCCGTCCGTACCCCTCACCTCAGCTCCCACGCACGAGGGCCCCCACGGGTGGATTTTAGCCCCGCGAATCCTCCGTGTTGCAGAGCCTCTCGCTCCGAGTGACTGCGCCCCGCATCAATCCCCGGTTTTGGCAAAGCCCAGCGCAGCGGGGCGATATTCTGAATTAATCATTCGCCAAATGCTGCTCCGAAATGTCAGCCCTTCTGCGAGTCGTGCCTTGGCAGCGCTTCGCCGCATCGGCTCAATGGAGCCGGCTTCCTGTGAAAATCTGTGCCTCTTCCTCGGAGGGAAAAAATCCCAAACGCTCCCAGACCTGAACGTTTCTGCCCGAGAAAAGCTGTGAAAAAATGGGGTTTTAATGAGGGTAGTGACACCCGCCTGTCTGCTGCTGCTGAGGGAAGGCTGCCTCGCCTTGGCATTTGGGTTTGAGCTGGCAGTGGCAAACCGCAGCTCCTGGGGGGGAAGTGGCACCGCGCGAGGCAGGGGGCGCGCGGGGACCCGCGGTTGTTGTCCCCGGGTTCACAGCAGCCACGTGGCTGGGGCCTTGAGACGGGCACGAGGAGGGGCAGGGGGTCTCGGGGGAGAAGCGACAAAAGCAGAAGGGGAAAATGTGAATGAGCTCAGAGGAGGTTCACCCTTGACTTGTCAGGGGAATTTCCCTCGCCGGCAGCTGGCTGCGCTCAGGTGGGCGCCCTGGGGTGACTCAGACACAATTGGGCTCCGCTGAGGTCAGGTTTTCCACTGGCCCCCTCTCTCACACCCCCCATGGCAGAAACAGAAGTTTCACACAGCCCACCCCAGGCTGCCCCTGGACCACTGCTCATGGTGAGCACTGCACCTCCCCTAGCCCAGCTGGGGGGGGAGATGGGTCCAAGCACCCCGGGGCGTCAGGAGCCACCCCAGGTGCCAATGGCACAGGGACTTGTGCTGGACTTGTCCCCTCTGGTGAGCTGGTCCCAAGGTTTTGTGGCCTGAGCCAGAGGTGGGAGGACATGGAGCAGCCAGGGTGTGAGCAGGACCAGCCCCCCAGCCGGGTGCTCTGCTCCTTCGGGGTGGGCTGCACCCCGCTTGCTGCAGAGCTGCAGCAGCGCATCGGAGCTGGCGGTTCCCGCGGGGGCTCACGTAGGAGGAGATGTGTTTTCCTGGCTGAGTGCAACGCGCTGAGCAAGTGGTTCTGGTATTTTGCAGTTGCTCCTGTTCTGACTCACCGTTGCTCGTCGGTAACCCCGGCCCCATCACCTGTGTTTGCTAAAAAACGTCGCATCCCATCGCGGCCTGGCCTGCTGGGAGAGGGGCCGTGCAGGGAGCAGAGTGCCCCATCCCCTGCTCCCCGTGGGGCCAGCAGCCGGGCAGTTTCACGGGGCCAGGCACCGGGGCATGCTGCTGGCAGGTCTCTGGTCCTCCTCACCCGAGGCTTGCTTTTCAGCTGCTTGCAGCTTTCCCAGAAATTTGGATCCAGGGCGCGGAACTCAGGGTGGGAGGAGGCCGTGTGGGCTGTGCCATCCGGCCCCGTCTTCCCCCGGGATGCTTCCTCCCCCTGCTCCTTCCTCTGTTCCTGCTGGTGTCACCGTAGAAATGCCAGGCCCGGGGGGAGCAGAGCTGCGGCTGGAGGCTGCGTGGTTTGGAGAGACCAAGGCGCAGGAGCTGCCGATTGGCGCTTGGAGCCCGGCTGAGGTGGGGAGCGTGTGCTGCCTTTGAAGGCTGAGGGCAATTTGTCTTTGCAGCAGGCTCCCTCGGCTTCTGGTGGGCTTGGCACCACGGGAACCCCCGCTGCTGAGCTGAGCATCTCTCCGAAACATCTGCTCCAGAGCAGCACGAGGCACCGCGAGGGAAATGGGGCCTGGGGTGTGCGGATGGCAGGCGCTGCCCTCCCCGTGCCGCTGCCAGCGCTGGATGCGCCGGGCAGGACTGCAGGCACCGCAGCTTTCCTTTATTTTAACTGAACTTTATCGAAAAAAGCCCCTTTTATGAGATCACCCCCATCCCATCCTGGTGAGGGGGTGCCTCCGTCCCCTCCCGTGCTGTCCCCTGCGCCCGCTCCCCGCCCGCTGCCCACCCGCGCGGCGGCCGCCGGAGAACAACAGGCGCTTGTCAGCGGCGCTGCCTGGTGATATTTCAGCGGTCCCACGGCTCTCCCTGCTAGTGGGTGGTTTTGCTGCCATGCCAATAGACTGGAGCTAAAGCTGTTCTCCAGGCTGTCAAACTCATTTTTTCTTTTTCTTTTTTTTTTTTTTTTTTTTTTTTTTCCACCAGGCGAATAGCAGGGGGGACTGCAAACCCACTGCCGCCCCCGGGAGCTGGCTCCCTCTCCATCAGACGGACATTTCCTCCGGCTCCTGTGGTTGCTGAAGCACGTTTGGTGTTTTGGGGAGCTCTCTGCAGCGGTGCCATGGGGAGGCAGTGGCCCCACCACCCCAAACCCCAAAAGACGGGGCAGAGCCTGGTGCACCAAAGCGACCTGGGCTGCACCCTCATGGGGGGCACCTGTCCCCTCGCTTGTTCCCTGTTTTCTTTTCCTTTTCCACTCGAGATCAGCCATTGTCTGTCCCTGAGATGTGCATTCATGCGGGATCTCATCCGAGGCAGGGCTGCCTGTTGGTGAGGAGGCAAGTGCAACGAGGAGCGACGTGGAACCGCCAGCGTGCCAGCACTGCCTTTCCTTTGCCTTCCCATTGTCTTTGGCGGCGGCTGCGCGCGGCTCCCCCCGTGCCCATTGTGCTGAGGCGCTGGGAGACGTGCCAAGGGCAGGGAAATAATTGGCGACAAACCAAGAGTCTCGGAAATATGAAATGTTTGTTCTCCATCATAGCGGGGTGAATTTTATCTTGTCTGCAGCCTGGGTGCTTTGGGCATTCGGCGTGTGCCTTGCCAACTTGTAGGGGTGTACTGCGGGTTTCACAGATTTTTGTCCTTTTAAAATTCTAATGACTATTTTGTTTAATTCTCCAGCTTCTGGAACCACATGATTACATGAGATCTTAGCTTTGATTTTTTTTTTCCCCTTTAAATTACATTGAGCCTCTAGCCTCATGTTTGCGTGCACACACACAAACCCCAGCCACAAATAACAAAGGCTGAAGGAAGAAAGGAAAAATATGAAGGAACCCAGGGTGCATTATTGAAACGTTGTGGTTTGCAGGGCAGATTAGTGATTTTTCAGTACTTAGCTTCAGCATGTGGGATAAGAAGGTGCTGCCCCTGCCCCGGCTGGTGCAAGAAGGAAACCACCTGCAGTTTTCCCTCCAGCCTCCCTCCCTACTGGTGAGGCTCCGTGCGCACGGAGGTGACGCCGGCTCCCGATGCCCTCCCAGGGATGTGGGCACACAGTGGGGTCAGGGGCTGGTGGTCCCCTGGGTTCTTCCCATGCTCTGGAGAGGGAAATGCACGTGGGCCAAGTGGCAGCTGCTTGCCCTGCCTGCAGCCAGCCAGCACACACGCCCCGGCCAGCCCCCGGTGCCCCCAGTGCCAGAGCCGGTCAGTGCTCTTCGCGCAGAGCCCTGGGCGCTCATTTGCTTGTGTTCTGCTCCTCTTTATTCCTAGCGTTAGAGCAAAGAGGGAGATAAAAGGGAGAAATGAAAGCTTTACAGCTTCCTAGGCTTCCTCCAGCAAATAAAAGTCCCGTCCAGCTGAAATGCTAATTAAGAAACATCACTTCTTCAAAGGCCAGAATTGGAAACAGCCACATGGAGACATAATGGGATTAAAATGTATCAGGGGATTATAACAGCGGTGAGGATTTAGCGGCGCTGCTCCTGCCCCGCGCTCCGGAGTCAGGCTCTCAGGGTGGCACTCCCAAGGCTTTGATTATGAAACACCCAGGACAAGACCAAGCCACTGCTGAGCTGAAAAGCCAAAGGTGTGGGCTGGGGAACAGCTCGCAGGCTGTGCCCGCAGGTGGGGAGCATCCTGTGTGACCCAGCCCTGGCCAAATCAGAGGCAGCTGTGCTGGGGGGGGGGGGATATTTTGGGGAAGGGGCAAAGGCAGGGTTTGGCTGCAGGAGCAGGCACCTGCCTGCAGCTGTGTGTGTGTGGGGGAGCCTGGCTTTGCCTGAAATCACTTCCTTTTGGTGTTGAGGGGTGGGGGTGCTGCGTGGTGTGGTGGGTTGTGCTGAGAGCCCATGACCCCAGCAGCCATCGCTCGGTGCCCCCAGCCCACATTTGGGTGGGCTGGGACCCTGCTGGGGCTCCCTTTTCAGAGCAGCTCTGACTGTAGCTTGCCCCAGGGCCAGGAGCCCCGCTGGAAACCCTCCAAACGCCCCCGTGCTGCCTTCTGCTGCTGGCTGGGGCTTCGCCTCGAGCGGCTCTACCCAAAGGCATCTGCAAGGAGACGACGTCGCCGCTCCCTGCGGGCAGGCAGCCAGCCCGGATTGCTTCCTCGGCCACCGCAGCCGGCAATTAAACCCCGGCGATCGCCAGCAACCCCTGCCTGACCCAGCTGCTGTGCCGAAGCGCCCCGACCTGGCATTATCGCGGCTGCTTTTGTGCAGCAAATAACAGCTCCAGGTGGGTAACTGGGGCGCGAGCAGCCAGCGCCGTTGTGTAATCCTCGGCTGTAAGGAGCGGCGGTGGGGGTCTCGCTTTCAATGTCAACACAAAAGGCAAAGAAACTATTCGCAGTGATGTAAACTCCTGGGCAGCAGAAGTGCCAATTAGGAAACATCTGTTCCTCGTGGGCCAGGCGGCCTGCGAGCAGCCGCATGGCAACGTAATGGGATTAAAATATAGCAGCGGATCGTGTTAGCGCCGCAGAGATCAGCTGCTGGGGAAGTTCTTATGAAATCAGGGGGAAAATGAAAAACAAATTTCTTTGTTTCTCTCCTCAGGACAGTCCATTTATTTTATTTCTTAATTTGTACCTTACACGAGGTGCAGGAGCTGCTGCCGTACCTGCTCTCCGCACGGCTCAGTGCGCTTAAAGGAACCGCCTGAGCTGGGCTGAGTCTGAGGGCTTCTCCCCGTGGGGTTTGCCCCCAGTGCGTAACATTTGGCCCTGTAGCATAACCCCAAGAAGTGCTGAATAACACTGAGAAAGCAGCAATGCAAGGCAGGGAGAGAAATGACCAGAGTGAAGAGAAACCTGCGTCTCGTGGTGTTTGCGCCCCCCGATGCCCTGTGCCCCCGTGGGTCTGTGCGGGCAGCACACGCGGCGAGCCCGGCACACACAGGGACGTTCTTCAGGAAACCGTACAAACAGAGCTGAAACGTGTGCTATTTTGGGATGCTCATATGCTCCAAGGCAAATGTCGTATGTATGTAACATCCATTTAGGGAGCCGAGTAATGAAGTTGTGCATCACAAGGAGGGAGCCGCTCGCTTAGCAACCTTCCCGTCGCATGACGTCTTCCCTCTGCAGGACGGGATTGCTCCTTCGGCAGGCAGGAGGACCGAGCACTGCTCGCTCTGCCTTAGGAGCCGTTCTCAGTGGAAAGATGCCGACCAGCTCCCCCTGAAATCAAATCTTTGACTCCAAATTGTGCACCGGGTTTGCCCCTGGGTGACCTTTGCAGTGCCCGCTGTGGCTGGGGGTGCGAGGGCAGTGCCACCGGGGTGTGGGGTCCGTGGGGGAGCCTCGTGATGTGCTGCTCACGGTGCTCCCACCTGGGGGGCTGGAGGGGGAGCAGTGCTTTCAGATCCTGCCGAGATCTGCTAAGGCATCTGACAGCATTAAAATGGCTGATGGCAAACCCAGCGGCACTGCTGATGGGAAGCGCGGCTGTAAAACTCTCCTGGCATTTTGTTGGTGAGGCGTGTCTGCAGAGAAGCAGATGGAAAGGCAGCCCCTGCTCCCTGCCAGCTTGTGCTGCTGGGGATTGGGGGTGTGCTGGGGCTGCACTGGGTGCCCTGGGGGTGCACCAGCACCAGGACCATGGCCGGGAGGGAGAGGACAGCCCATCACATGAGGGGCTCAGAGCGTCTGCCCTGGCTCGCTCCGAGGTTTCCGGATGATAAGCAATTAAGAGAGAGAGATTTACAGCAGATTAAGTCCGAAGGCAAAGTCCATTATCTGCCCAGAGGAGCTCCAGCGAGGAGGCCTGTGGCTGGGGGCAGGGCGTTTTGGCTGGTGGAGCCCATCCTGATCATACCTGGGGGCAGCGCGCTCCTGCCTGGGCTGCAGGGAGGCACGGGGGGCATGGAGCTGGGGCCAGGCTGGGAAGGGGCACACCAAGGACTTGGGTTCCTCTCCCACTGGCATCTCAGGGGCTGTGCTGGGGCCAGTGCCTCCAGGAGCAGCTCACGTCTCTCTCTGGCCTCTGGAAGCACCTGGGATCTGTCCCAGTCTCTGCTGTGGGGGCGCAGGGCACCTGCAGGAGTGCCCAAAGAGTGGCACCAGGGGAACGGAGCAGGAGAGGGGCACAGGAGTCACTGCAGTCAGGTTCCTGGCTCTTCAGAGTCGGTGACACAATCCTGCAGCTGGTTAATGTCACGCAGCCATGTGTGATAGGAGATAAAGAGCAGCTTCTCACTGCCACGTCTTCTGTACCTTCACCAGCTTCCTTCGCAGAGCTCCTCAGTCACCTTCCGTGCTGGACCATGGCAGTGGCATTGCGGTACCCGAATTAAGGCCAATTATCACGGCATGAGGAATATGAAGCTGTGTGGCTGGGATGCTTTGCTTCAGCACCGGGCACCTGTTGTGTGCCACTGTGCCCACCACACTGAAATGCTCACCCAGAATGAGTGTTGTGTGCTGCGTGCGCCTACCCGGTGCCATAATCAATACCCTGCACGGGTTGGAGGCATGCAGTCCCTTCCTGCCCTACCCGAGCAGAAAGGAGCGAGCTGCTTTAGTGTTTAATTGAAACAAATACCATTTCTGCAGCCCAGCTGGGGCTGATTTGCTCTTAGTGGTGCATGGCAATGCCAGGTTCTTTTGGAGGGCGAGCTGAGCTGTCCTCTAGGGGAGATGCTTTCAGCAGCACCGCAGGTGAAGCTGAGCCAAAGATGCTAAATCCACGTGAACTGCTCACTCTGGTTTCAGCGTGGGAAGGTGCCAGATGTGTTTTAGAGGAACGATGCTTCTGAGGCCCATGCCCGTGTATTTGGTGTCTTTGACCCACGGACCTCTCTGTGCAGTGTTCCTGACCGGCAGCCCCTCGAGCACGGCGGCTGCTCTGGAGCTGCGCTTCCTCAGCTGTGAAATGAAGATAATTTACTGGATCATTTTCCAAGGGCACCGAGAGGGTAGGCGAGTCGTTTGGCATATGGGGCCGGCGGGTCGGGCGGGCTGTGCTCCTGCAGAGCCTCGTGCCCAGCTGCAGTGCCCTGCTTTGCCCCATGGCCCCGGGCCCTTCCTGCAGCATCGCTGCCGGCCAGGTTGGTGCCCATGGGGGTGCGATGGAGGGGACCCCTCAGTCCAGCTGGGACCCCTCCTCAGGTTGGTGTAAAGCCATTTTTGCCTCTCTTTGCCCCATTGCCGGCCATCCCCTTGCTGGGGCTCCTGCCCCTTGCTCCGTGAAAGTCCTGGCAATGTTTTGCTTCAAGATGAGAACTGGGGGGATGCAGCGCGCCTGCCTGCGTGCCGACAGCTCTCCTGGCACTGAGCACCTCTGGGACCCGGGTGCCACCAACACAGAAAGGAGTCATCGCTGTCGTCTGCTACCCCACTGGAGAAGGCAGTAATTAAGGCTGCTGAGCACACACATTTCTTCCAAAATTACCTCCTTTATTGAGAGGATCAGATGCCGCCATCTTTCATGGCTTCTTGCAAGGCTTGGATCTTGTGGGATGCGAGGCTATTAATAGGAACCAATCTTTCCCCTTCTCCTCTAGGCTAAAGACAGACGGATTCAGACAAGGGCCCCTTTGATGTGAGGGAAGTGCAAATAAACGCCGTGCCGTTTTGTTCCCGAGCTGGCAGCGGGTTCCTGCTGCTGTGCCTGTGTGAGGGCTCGGAGCTGCCGGCGTGCCCTGGGACGGGGTGGCCGAGGCAAAGGGCAGCCCGCGATCCCAACCACGGCTCCCTGGGGACACAGGCAGCACCAGGCTGCGTTTTGCTGAGATTTCTTTCACTAAGAGCACGATGCAGCCACATAGAAAAGGGAACAGCGGGATGGCTCGCTCTGACATCTTTCCTTCACATGCCAAGAGCAGCCTCAGCGGGAGGGCTTCTCCCACGTAAGGCTCCAACACGAAGCCCAGCTAGGAGGGGAGGCTGCGACAGGGGCAGCGAGGGGCGCAGCAACTTGGCTCCCTGTTTCGGGCTTCCTCCACCTTCAGCTGTTGGCAATGAGCCTCCTTCCACGCCCCTAATTTTTGGGTGCAATGGAGGGTGCCGCAGGGGCACGTGTTCGTGTCTCCAGCCTGTGGGACGGGGGGCAGGCAGCTGGCAGCACCCAGGAGGGAGGCAGGGACGGTCCCACGGGGTGTGCAGTGCCCAGCCCCAGCTCTGGCTGCTGTTTGCCTGCAGCTGACGTCGGGCACCCGCGGGTGGCGGGGGCCAGATGCACGATATTGGATTTCGGGTGAATGATCAGCCAGGGCGCTGAACGCCAATTTCTGTGCAAATAGGCTCCGAGTATGAAGAGCCAGGGAAGAGAAATAACTAGAAAGCGTTTCACACGTAGCTGGAATTGTTTCCAAGGAGCACATTGGGAAGGTTTTCCAGCAGGCGGGCTGGCTGCCTGCAGCCTTGCTGGCGCTGTGGGGCGGCTCGGAGCCCCGTGCCCAGCTGGCTCCTGCCTGCAGCGCCCCGAGCACGTCCCATCCCCACCAGGACCCATCTCATCCCTGCGATGGACACAGCCCTGGGTGGCCAAGGCACCCCGCGGACCCTGCCTCTTCTTTTCAGCATTGCATGGCTTACCTTCCATAGGATGTTGTGACAGAATCTAAATTAATTTGTGCCGTTTCGCTATCATCTGAGTGATTGTTGGTTTTCTCCTTCTATCCCTCAAAATTTATAGCCGAATTAGCCGGTTATTGATTTTGGTTTTCTTTATCAAGTTACATTCAAACCAGACCGTGGAGCTGCGAGTGCTCTTCGGTTCCCTCCTGGCATCTGTTTGCCTAATCAGCCCGCGCAGGGGAAGAGCTCTCAGGGTGCTGGAGAGGGATTCTGCTGACAGTTGTGTTTGCTGTTACAGTCCTCACCTGCTACTAATTATTGGTAATAACTGCAGTTTGTAAACCCTGGGATCCCCGAGGATGCCCAGGGAGGGCACAGGTGGAGGGACCCTTGGGGCTGTGCTGCCTGGGGGGCTCTGGGGGTCCCCCCACCCTTCTCGCTGCAGGACATCCCATGGGGCAGGGCTGTGATGATGTGCTGCTGGGTCTGGGCAGGGTGCTGGGGCTGCAGGGGGGACCACGAGGGGATCTCACATCGCATCAGCTCAGGCTTCTTGCTCTGCTCCGTGTCAGTGGGCTCGTGCTGGCTGCAGGCACACTTCTCTCTGCAGATGGGTGCAGTGGGAAGGAAGCTGTTCCACCACTGTGCTTGGTTTTAGCACCGTTGCTGCATGTACAGCTGGGAGGTCACGTCCAGCCTGGGCTATGCAGGGGATGAAGCCCACAGGGAGAGGCTGCTGGTGCTGCTCCTCCAGGGAAGAGCTTTGGGTTTTGTCCATGCCTGCTGTGCTCCAGTGGTTTTTTGGGTGCTGAGGTTGTGGTTATGCCTGAGCTCTGCAGCAACCTCAGGTGAGGGCATCTTTCAGCTCACAGATGTCCCAGCTAAATCCCCATATGTAAGTGAGCAGGTAAGTTCTTTAATTACCTTTCTGCCCCCTAAAGATGTGGCTCAGCCAGTGATGCTTGGACCTGAGCTCTGCTGAGAAGCCATTTGAAGGCCTTCTCGTTCCAGCTAGAAGTGGGCAGCGGTGAGCTGGTGCTGCGGAGATCCTGGCATGGGGCAGCTCCTTCCCAGCCCCTGTCCCACCTGGGGATGGCAGAGCCACGGCCCTCTGGCTGCCTTCCCCATCCCTCGGGCTGCCTTTTTCCCATTCAGCCGCTCACAAAAACACTCAGGAGGGACCCACGGGGCGGTGCTGGCTGCCCAGCCGTGCCTGGTGGTTTGGTTTCCTCTGTGCCTCGCTGGGGCTGGCGCACTCGATTTGCTGGGCAGAGGAAGGGCTGATCTCATTAGGCAGTAATTGAGATACTTGTGTGAGCTGCGGGAAATTGCAGCCCAGCGCTGGGCAGAATTGCAGCACAGAGGAAGCTGAACCGAGGCAGGAGGGAAGCAGGAGCCCTGCTCCCCCCGTGCTCATCTGCCACCGAATTGCACCTGAGCTTTGGAAATCTCCCGGTTACCTGGTGCTGTGCAGGGAGGTGCAGTGCAGCTCGGCGGGCACCTGCCAGCAGCTCCCTTCTGTATTTAAAACTCAGCATTTTCTTCTCATTGTTTGGGGTTTCATTCATGTCCCTTTCCATTCCTTCACTGGAAGGAAATAAATAGTGGAGACTGTCTTAAAGATCTAGAGTCATCCCAAAGGAGGGAACAGAATGCTTATTTAATGAGAGAGAGAGAGAGAGAATGCCCTTTTTTATTAAAAAAAAAAAAAAAAAAAAGTATCTTTGAACTTTATATTTTGAACTGCTTAAATTTGATGACTTCATATTCAGCCATGTTTCAAAATATCCTAATAATGCAGGAATTCCTGCATCACATGACAGGTTATTTAGGCTTTGTAGAAAGTTCACTTTTAAATAGCTGCATGGAGAGGAAGACAGCTGAAAAATTTACTCGCTGTCTCCTGCCTCTCCCTGAGCTGAGCTGCCTGCCAGCTGACGCTGGGAGGGGAAAGCTTTTATCGCTCGGAATTAAGAAATTACTCCTGAGCTTAACTGGTGCTGATGTACACGGACTGCTCTTCTTTGGGGGGAAAAGGAAATGTGCAGAGATGCTTTCTGGTTTCTTTTGGGAAGGACGAGGAATGGGAGCAGCAGTCACCAAGTCCGGCTGCACCATCACAAGCCGCCAGCTCCAGGTCTTGGGGAGCCAGCCCAGTACAACCAGCACGGCACGAGGTGTGGGTGCCCAGTGTGGGTGTGGGTTTGTGCCCAGCGCAGCGCAAACGGCATCTGCTCCGGCTGCGGGGCCCAGTTCTTAGGAGACGATCTGTACTGGAGAATGTCCTGTGTGGTTGGCAATCTAATTAGCGAGGGGCCAGAAGAATGCATTCTGATGTTGCCATCATCTGAATTAGATTCATTATTTCTTTACAATTTATTTTGATAAAAAAATACGGCTTAAATCATTCCAGTCAATTTCAAAGGAACAAATATTTCCTCCTGGAGAATTAAGCAGAGCCAGGAGTGCCAGCCAGGCACTGCCGCTGAACAAAGCAGAAAGGACTGGATTTCCTGCTGTCCTCAGCACAGCCTCCTCGAGCTGCTGCCCCGGCCCCGGGCTGCTGGGCTCTTCCAAGCCTCTCCTTGGGACCAGGAGAAGTCGAGATCCCCCTGGGGGAGGCTGCACAGAGCCTCACCTGCACCTCTCGTGGGTGTGGGTGTGGGTGAGGAGCCCCCAGCCCAGGTGGGACCAGCAGAGCAAAGAGAGGCTGGAAGCAGGATGTTTGTGTGTGGGGTGTCAGCTCAAGACGATCTGGAGAGGACAGTGTCTAACGGGGGTTTCTGCTGCTTACAGAAACGCCGTGATGTTTGGGAACACCGCAGCGCCCACCTCTCTTGCCTGTGCTCCCTCATGCAGGACTGAAGACGCGGCGTGACTTTCCATTCCCTTCTTATCTCTGTCCCCAGAGGACGTCGTTATTTCTGCTCAGACTATTCAAGCACAAACGTTTGATGGTGAATAATATTTTTGATGGTTTAATTACCTTTTGTTTCCTAATTAAAACTTGGCCTTGTCATAATGTCAGACGGTTTCAGAAGGGAACATGGTGATGGTGAATTCCATCGAGTGCTTTCCCTGGCAGAAGTGGTCGCAGCACCTTTTTAAGTGTTCAGGAGAAGCTGGGGGAGCCAGCAGGGCTGCAGAGGAGCCCTCGTGCATCCCCAGCCGGGCAGGGCGATCCCATCCCATGGCTCAGGTGCTTGGTGCCAGGGGCGCAGCGAAGGCAGAGCGATGGTCTCTGGAATTGCTCCTTCTGGTGCAGTTGGTGGACACAAGCGGCAGCAGGGATGGCCGTTAATCATTCTGGTTGTTTTCCACATTGCCTCTTGCTGCTTACTAGTGCAGCTTGAAGAAGTGCATTAAGGAGCAGGGATGCATCTTCAGCCTCGGTGCGGATGCTGCAAGGGAATGCCCAGGGCACCCTGCCTGGCTGTGCCCCTGCTCAGAGCAGTACCAGTGTGGGGGGCACAGAGGTTAAGCTACCCCAGAGCCCCCCAAAGCTCAGCCTGCTCCTGGAGAGGTGTGGCAAGCTTTTGCAAACCCAGAGGAGAGAACTAGTGGAGGTGCAAGTCTGGTTCCCTAAATACTGCCCAGCACGCTTCACCTGCTGTGCAATTCTGAACTTACTGTTTGCTAAGGGGGGGTCTTTTAGTGTAAGAAAAGCAAATGGGAGCTGACAACGAGAGGTCTTGTCTTACCTGTGCTGGTGTCCCCAAAGCGCTGACCCTAGGCTGAGAGCGGTGGTGGCCCAGGGGGCAGAGAACATCCCCTGCCAGCACATCGTGCTGGGAGAACGCCCGCCTGGTCAGCTCCAGTTTTCTTAATTTATAGTAAGAACAGCTTGCATTTATTTATCCCTTGTGGTCCTTTGGGCACCTTACGGTTGCTCACCAATGAATTCCCACACAACCTCATTAGGGTGATGCTCCTGTTCCTAATTTACCTCCAGGTAGCCCCGCTGCAGGAAGCCATCTGAAGACATTTGGGAGAGCGGAGGGCGGTGAGCGCAGGTGGGGCGCAGATTTCCTCTCCCCCCTTGCAGCCACACGAGCAATCGCACTCCAGGTAACGCTGCCAGCAGAGCAAGCAGCAGGAGACGAGCTCGCTGCTTGGCTATTACACAAGCAAACCACCAAGAGTCGGAGCCCAGCCGGATCCATCCCCAGCACATGCATTATCCCCTACCAGCACTGCCAAGGAACGAGGAGGTTTTGTGGTTGTTTGCATCCCATGGAGGCAACTAAGGTAATCAATGCCTAATATTCCTAATTCCCAAACGATGTGTGTTTCTGGAAATATATTTTTTTTTAATTAAAAAAATGAGTTTAATAATCATCTGTGTGAGCATTCCCCTCAAGGGGTACATAGCAAGTGCTGGCCATGCATACCAGCAGAGATCCTGCAATTACCAGGTTTTCCACAGGCTGAAGGACAGCAGGAGGAGCGTGCCTCCGTCCCGTTGTGCTGTTTTGCACCATTATCTCCAAGTGATGGAGTTAGTGTAGGACGCACCGATAAATCTGCTTTCGACTTGTTACTCTCTGTGATATCATCCATCATCCCGCGCGGCAGAGCTGTGCAAAATTAAACATTTAAATCTTACACAGATGGCAGGAGAAACTGGCTGCTCGGGAGGCAGGAGCAGCAGACAGGAGCCGGGCTTTCTTGGCTGCGGCAGGGGACGCACAGAGGGCCCTGAGCTCCAGCCCGGCGGCCCCGTGGCACGGTTAAATTGATTGAACGATATCAGTCAGCATCCACAGAAATGTCAGGAGGTACTTTAGCACATCCAGGCCATGCACGAGTGTATCATATTCTGACCTCTGTTAACTGTGGCATTGATTAATTCAGGGTTTCCCTCAGCCAGGGGAATACACAGCGCACTGTTTATAAACACACACAAACACCACCGACGATACCGAAGGCAGCACACATGTAACACTGAGCACCACCAAACCCACGCAGGACACACGCAAACACGAAGCCAGGAGTCACACGGATGCCCAGAGGGGCTGCAGCCTCGCACCTGGGGAGCTGGGGAATTGAATATCCCTGCGGTGCCTGTTAGCGCTGCACATTCTGCTGCCTGCTCTTCAGCTCCAGGAAATAATTAGCTTTATTTCCAGTCTGCTACCAAAAAAATGCACATCCCAGTGACCTTCAAAACCGCTGAACGTTACACTGCAAAATGTATGCGTTGTACATGCTGCTAGAGAATGATGAGTAGGAAATACACTTTTTTAAGCAAGTATTGAAGAGAACACTATTTCTTACAACATTTCGGTTCCAGCTGCTGCTACCCTGCTGGCTAGCACCAAGCAGCACGAGGAGAGCAGCTTCTTCGCTGGGTTTCTGTAGGAGCCCTTCTCCAATGTAACTTCCTGGAAATTGTCACAAGGAATGGCTTTGAAGCGCACATTAGAATAATACCCAGACAATAATGGCAAAAACATGGTTCAGAAATGAAAAGGAGAGCATTATGGAGCCTAAGTGGCGTTTTCTTGCCCATTACTGCAATCATCACCGCTGCAGAGTAGTTTAAATATTTTAGGAAACAGAAGAGGCCTTCTTGGTCGGCAGCGCGAGGCCGGCGTTAATGGGTTTTGGTTTGCTCTGCCTCCCCTCCGAGTGACTGCGTGGCGCTGGTGCTGTTTAGCAACACGATCAGGTCAGCGACGGCAACTTGCTGCGCTTCTCCTGCTGCTTTTTGCACGCTCCCATTGCAGGGAGCCAGAACCGCTCTGCCCCGGGCTGCCTCCGCAGCCGGCTGCGTGTCGGGGCTGCAGCGGGGCCCCCAGCCCGCAGGAGCCACCCGCACCCATGGGTGCGGGCACGGTGAGGGGCACCTGGGCTTGCTCCTGCCTGGGGAAACTGGGATGCTCCTCACGGCCACGGATCCAAGCTGCTTGGCACCACTGGGCAGCGCCAGCCTTTCCCATCACAGCTCCAACGATTTGAAGCTATGAAGTGACTCCACGCACGAGGCGTTGGCTGTGTTTTTTGCCCTGCTTGGTAGATCGATGCCTTGCAGCACGGGGCCTGACATATACTTACACATTTACAACTCGACAGTGTTCTGCAAGCATCAACGAGGGCGTGCAGCTCCCGTGCCTGGATGGCTTCATGGCCACGGGGCTGCTCCTGGTGCGGAGAGCCTGGCACGAAGCCCCCAGCCACGTGCAGTGACGAGGAGAGATGCACACCTCCTCATCCTGCATCTGGGCCAGGAGAAAATAGGATGCTGGGCTCGGTCAGCTCCTGGGCAGCGGAGGGATGGGGACGTGGGGGACACGGGGGGCACAGGAGGCCCACGCCATGCCCCAGATGCTGCTCGTTGCCCCGTGCCGTGCCCAGCCGAGCAGAACTCTCCCCTGTGGTTCAGCTCCGGTGAAAAGTGCCGGTGTAAATCACCGTTCCCAACAAAAAGCCGTTCCCAGACGGTTCGTAACGAGGCGCACGGCGAAATCCTGCCGGCTGTATACTTTACCTTGCTTTAATCAGATCATTAACTTTCACAAAGCTGTAGGAAGGAGGAGTGGCGGCACTTGAAAAGAGCTCAAAACAAGCGGAGCTCGAAACTTCAGACTTGTCATTGACTTCGCCTTTCATTGAGCCAATTATTTCTGACATATTTGAGGAAAGTCAGGAGGGAGAGGAGTGCGGATCTGCATACATCTGCCTGCCTGCAGCCGAGGTACCGAGCCGGTGGGGGGGGGGGGGCCGTGCCCGGCGGCGCTGGGAGCCCCCCGCTGCCCCCTCGGCTCCCCCTCACACCACGTCTCGGGCTGGGGGGGGGGCTGCAGGCCCTACTGGGGCACTGCCTGCCCCGGGACCCCCCCCCAGAACCCCCCCAGCACCCCCACATCCCCAGTGCAGCTGCACCCCCACCCCGGCCGTGCCCGCAGCCCCCCCGGCCCCGCTCCCTCGGTCGGCGCTGCCCCCCCCCTCCCCTCCCGCCCCCCTCCCGTCCCCCCCCGTCCTCCCCCATCCCCTCCTCTCCCCTCCCCTCCCCGGCCGCCAGTTCCAGGTCCGGATTTTCGCAGGCGCCGCCGCCGCAGCCCCCCCCCCCCTTTCCCAGCTCCCAGCTCCCCCCCCCCCAGCTCCGCCGCAGCCCCATGGCCCCGAGCTGCCCGCACGGCGCCGCGGGGCCCAGCCGGGGGGGCCCGGCGGCCGCGTAAGGCAGCGAGCGGCGACGGGGCGGCCGCACCGGGAGCTCCCCGCGGCCGCCATGGGCTCGGCGGGGGCGGGCGGGCGCTGAGGGGGCCCCGCGCGGCCGCAGCGGGGGCCGGGGCGGGCGGGGGGGGGGGGGGGGACGCGCTGCGGCTCGGCTCGGCCCGGCCCCGGCGGACGGGGAGGGTGTGTGTGTGGTGTGGAGGGGGGGGGGGTGGAGGGGTTGTTGGGGGGGGGTTTTCCGCCCGCCCGCCGCGGGCTGAGGGCGAGCGGGGCCGGCGGCTGAGCCCCGGGTGCTGCAGGGCGGGGAGCGGGGCCGCGGCGCCCCCCCCCCCCCCCCCCAAGCGGTCGCAGCTCGCACGCAGCCGCTCGCACACGGGAGGCGCTCGGCGGAGCCGCCACCGCCCGCCGCCACCAACCCGTCCCCGTCCCCGTCCCCGTCCCCGTCCCCTTCCCCCCCCCCCCCCCCATCCCGCCCCCGGGGGCGGCTGCTGCCCCCGGCGGAGCCTCCATCTGCAGCCCGGCGGCGGGAGCGGGAACATGGCGGACCTGGAGGCGGTGCTGGCCGATGTCAGCTACCTGATGGCGATGGAGAAGAGCAAGAGCACCCCGGCGGCCAGGGCCAGCAAGAAGATCACCCTGCCCGAGCCCAGGTACCGCCCGCACGCACCCCGCACACGGGGCTGGAGGGGCCCCGGTCGCGGATTTTTACCCCCCCCCCCTTATCCCCAAGGACCCCCCCCCCCCACTCCCCCGGTGCCGGTCCCTCCGGGGCTCCCGGTGCCGCTCGCAGCCTGTGGGGAGCCCCCCGGGGCCGGTCCCGGCCGCACCGTGCCCGGGGCCGGCAGCGCAGCCCCCGCCTTGGGGTCAGGGTCAGGGGCCGCACAGGGACCCGCTGTGCAGGGGGTTATTTGTGGGTTCGCCTCCCTGTCCGGCCGCTTAGTGATATATTTCGGTACGTGGATGTGAGGGTGTGTGGAATCCTGCTTCTCTCCCCCAAAAAAAGCCCAAATTTTGGGGTTTATTCGCTCCCCGCGCCTCGTCCGGCGGCTGGGCCGAGGGAAACGGGAGGCGAAGCGAGCGGCTGTGGCCGCTGTGCTCTGCAGAGCTATCATTCCTGATGCTCCGTCAGGGCTGACAGCAGCGGCTCTTAGCAAGCAGCTCACGGAGCAGAGGTGGCGGCGGGCACAGGGCTCGGCTCGTGGCCGGCACCGTCCCCGGGGCTCCACCGGTGTCCCTGGGGTGTGGGGGTCTGGGGGTGAAACCAGCCCCAGCCTCCCTTCTGCGCGGCAGCCCCTGGTCTCCACGCGTTACAAAATCACCTGAGCCTCGCCTGGTTGTTCCCGAGGCTGAAGGGAGGCTTTCTCCCCGCGTTGTGGCTCGGTGTGTGTGTGTGCACGGCCATGGATGCATTGAAAATCAATATTTGGTCAGCAAGCACCGCGCTACAACAGCAAAATCCTACAAGAAAATTCGCTGCAGGGTGTGTGGGCAGCTCGCAAGCCTGGCGGTGGCCTAGCTGCCTGCCGCGGGCGAGGGATTGCTGAAGCCCTCTTCCCACTTGTTCGCTCCTTTTCCTGCCTCGCTGTTTGAATTCCCGGCGGTGCCGGGGGGGCAGCGGAGGGGCAGGGGCGGCCGGCGGCGTGCAGGGTCCGTGGTGCTTGCCCAGAGGCTCCGAAACCTCGGCTGAGGAAGTTGGGTTTGCAAAGCCCGGTTAGAGGCGGCTTCCTGGGCAGGTGGAGGTGCCTGTTTTTCCCCTGGCGTGTGTAAATATTGATGGAGATGATCGATATCTGTGTAACGTAACCTCGGCAGTTAACCCTGGGTGCAGCTCGCAGCTCTCCGAGTGCCGGTGCTTTGCTTGGTGCTGGTGGTGCTGGGGGTGCTGCCTGTCACAGCAGGTACCCGGCTGCCCGGGCACAGCCTCGTGGCACAGCACGAGGCCTGGGGAACCTGCACCCTGCTGCTCTCCTTCCATGGGGTCTGCGTTTGGGAGAGGCCAGGCGGTTTCCCCGCACCCCATGAGGTGTCCTCGGTGGTGTTGGGCTCCGCGGGGAGGGCAGCGGCAGCCGGGTGCACCGGGAAGTTTTGTGGAGTGGGAGAAAGGCGAGGGCTTGTGGGGCTGAAATGTTCATATGGCAGCGCCCGGA